ATATTTAAAATATCAAGCTAAAAATATTTAGGCATTTATTATAAATGTATTTATTAAATTGCACTCTTCACTTCTGGAAACAGTAAGGTGATTTGTAATCATGTATTTATAAAATAAAGAGTTGGGTAAAATAAATACCCTTATTTTTGAGCCAGTATTTAATTTAAAAAATTATATATTTACTGTTAAGAAGCCATAAGATGCTACACAGAACAGTCAGACATGTGGCACACACATATAATCCCCCCACTTGGGAGACAAAGGCAGGAGAATCATCATGAGTTGTGACTATAAGCTGTGTGTCTTTGTACATATTTACCCATAATACTTTTTAAAATAACTGATGAACTGTATTAAGGGAAAGGAATTTTTAAGTTTTTTAAAGGATATTAATTTATAAGTATCCTTAAACCTAATGGTTTCATTTTATGGGAACTTATCTTCAGTTCATGCATGAAAATAGATGCTTACATTCTACTGAAACCAGAAGCATTTCATTTTCTAGAACTAGAAAACTGAATAATCATTACCAAAATAAATTCATTTCATTAATACATTAAAATACTTCAGGAGACACTTCAGAATAAGTCCTGGTGAAAACCACACAATTCAATAGCATCTAGAACTGCCTGTGACTTAACCAAAGAGGTCTAGTCTATTTCTGTTCTATTCAACTTTGAAACTACAAAACCAGCCACATGTGCTCATATCAGCTTTTGCTTTTCATTATAGGAGTATACCATATCAACATATGGTCACATAGGAATATCTATTTATCTTTGCATTGAGAATCACTTACGTAAAAACGGACCAAAAGTTCCAGTTTAGCAATATTTTAACACACACACACACTACATAGTGTTCATGAAGCTTTGATTCATAATCTACAAAAACATTTGAAAAGCTATTGTTCTTTCACTATGATATTTATTTTTTGTTTGTTTGTTTTGTTTTGTTTTGTTTTTTGAGACAGGGTCTCACTATGGAGTGAGACTGACCTGGAACTCACTATGTAGCTCAGGCTGGTCTTGAACTCACAGCGATCCTCCTGCCTCAGCCTCCCAAGTGCTGGGATTACAGGTGTGCGCCACCACGCCCGGCCTTCCACTATGATATTTAACATGGCTAAACCAATACTATAATAACTTCACCAAAAAATGCACAGCAATTGTTTTTTAAAGAAACACACAGAACTCCACACATGAGAATTTGCAATATAGGGTAGTTTGTCTGATACACTTACCTACTATGTCTTATAGTTGCAAAGGTATATGACTTACACAAGTGATCTCCTTGTTCTATTTCATACCTAGTGGGCTATGCAATTATGCATATGAAAATTTCTTCTTTTAGAGAAAAGAACCTGATTTGCATTCAAATCTTTGATATAGTAGTATCATTCAAGTTTGTGCTAAATACTGTATAGTACCAACAAAAAAGACAACTTCCTCTTCTTCAACTAAACATTAAGCAGTTCTAATACTCAATATGACTTTTCAAATAAGAGTATACTCATTGACTAGACAAAACAGTCCTTTGTGATACAGGTTATATACAAAGAAGTTTCCCTACATGGGTAGGGTTTTTGCTCTAATTCAGTTACTCACCTTTAATTTCCTCACCTTTGTTTTCCCTGCTAGTATGTTATATATTTTCACACTCTTTATTGACAGAAATCAAATGTTGGCTTGCAAACAAAGCTATAATTATTGTCAATTTTTTAATGTCCCTCCAATTACATTTGGATTTAAGGCTAATTATTATCAGCCTGTCTTTTCCTTCCCTAAAATTAGTGCACTACCTCAGGTGTTTACTTTGTGGCCACCTCCCTTCCACCTACCTATTTTGTCCCAATAACAATCTCTGTGTGACTCAATGGTTGTATAATGAGTATAAACAGAAAATAATTGGTCAATTCTCTTTTCTAAATAGTGTTTTGGTTCCCTTTTTCCTCTATCAATATTGTATTAAACAAGATTACTTAAAAATATGTAAAATGTTAAAAATACAATTCATCTATCAGAGTTAACTTGCAATTAATTTTCAGACAGTGATGTAGTTCCAAAAAAGAATGAAGTTAGAAAACAAATATTCCTATCTAAAGAAAAAGCTTATAAAATCAAACTACATAAACCTCCATAATGCCAACTCTACCCTGACATAAAGTGAAAAACTATGAGGTGATCTGTCCCTTTCAAATATAAACAGATTTTAGTATTATACACAGCAATCAAAATTACTAGGGCCTTATCATTTGTATTCTCTTGACTAAGTCAAGAACTGTAGTCTCTGCTCCTTTCCCTCTTTGTTTCAGTTCAAATTGTTTTGAAAATTTAATTTAAATTTTCCCTTTCATTCTTTGAAAAGAATCATCCCAGTTTTGAAGTTACTTTATACTAGGGCTAATAACAAGTAACCACTTATTGCCAACTGGTGGGTATCCCCACCAGTTTTTTTGTGTATTTTTTTGTGTGTTATGACCGGGGATTGAACTCAGAACCTTGTGCTTGCCAAGCAGGCGGTGGAACCACTAAGCCAAATCCCTGGCCCTAACATACTAATTTTTAAATTTGACTTAATTTTCACAAATACATAGCAAAAGGGGCAATAATTCCCTCTTTACAGATGATGAAATGAAGGCTCATGGAAAGCAAGTAATCTAAGTACACATAAAGGGAAGGATCCCCAACAGGAAATACCACAACCAGGGATTCAACCTACTGTTGTTTAACGCCAAAATCCCTGCTCCTTTTACTGTCCCAATCTTTCACGGAAAAAAACTTTGTCTATCTAGTTGTGTCTGAGACTTGATAACTTTTCCAAAGGCACCAAGGCTATCAAATTACACCTCTTAGTTGTTTTGTTATAATTTAATCCTTCTCAAGGTTCTTTTATTTTCTGCGTGCACATGCATGTGTGTGTGTGTGTTACTGGGGAATAAACAAAGTGCATCACACATTCCTAGGCAAGCACTCTACTGAGCTTCCAGTTCATTTTAGATTTTATTTTAAGAGAGGGTCTCACTAAATTGCTCAGACAGGCCTGAAACTTGATTCTCCTCACCTCAACCTCCCAAGTATCTAGGGTGACAGATGTGCACAACTTTTAAAAAGCTATCACCTTCTCTGAAAAATTAAAAATTTCTCAAAGTGACAAGAAACACTTAAATTAGCTACTTAGATAGAATTCAAGACACAAATTTAGCACATAAAATCTTTCATTTATTGAACACAAGTCTGACATTCTCAAGTAAACTATTATTGTAGAGTTCTGTGTGATATTTAGGATTATCTATAGCAGAGCTATGTCTGAGAAGTATCTAAGGAGAAGTGTTAAACTTATCCCATAAACTACTCTGCAAATAGAGTCTGTACTGACTTCTACTTTTCCTGGTAATAATCAAACTGGTCTTAAGAAGAGCTGATTAAATCATGACAGTCTCCCAGTTAAGTGGTCAAGACAAAAGTAAAAACAGGAAATATCATCTCCCGTTGTTTCTGTAAATTGAGACGATGCAAAGATAGTGTCAAGGACCTCAAGTGAGTCCCAACCAACTCCTTACCTTCTCTTTCAAATCATTTTGAATAGCCCTACATATTTATCTTGCCTCTCTTTACAAATTCTTATCCCCCAGACATCCCACTATAATTCCTTTTTTTGTGTGTGATGGGATTTTTTAATATGAACTGCACAAAAACTTTACAAACAAAGCATCCTAATAACTGACAGGGCTGAGCAGATGTAAATTAAAAGTTCCATCTGGTTGATAATACTAACAGGTTAAAAAGAAAGAGTCTCACTCATTTGTGCCTCACCACTATCTAAAATGTATATCATTCTGACCCATTGTGTGTCCTTCCTTTGAACACAGTTCAGACCTGTGGGGATCCTGTGTATTCTCCAAACTTATCAGGAACCTGAGAATAGACTTTCTTCCCTTAGAACTAATGTGTTAAGAGCATGCACTGAACTTCATAAGGAGATATAATTCACCTTTCAATCACCTGAAATCTTATCCCAGCTGTCCCACTTTATTTTTTGTTTTGTTTTGGCAGGACTGGGGTTTGAACCAGGGCCTCTCTCATGCTAGGCAAGTGCTCTATCAATCACTGAGCTATACCACAGCCCTTTTCATTTTATTTTGAGACAGGTCTTGCTAAATTTCCTAGGCTGGCTTGGAACTTGATATCCTACTGCCTCAACCTCCTGAGTAGTTGGGATTACACTATGAGCCATAGCGTCAGGCCTATCTCACTTTATTTCTTAAAAGTGTAATTACTAGTACATTGCTTATAACTGTTTTTTCTAATTAAAACTGAGGGAATCTTGGAGAAAAGGAGAGTATTTAGGTTACTAAGAGTTTATTTAAATTTTCTAATGACTGCTTGCTAAATTCTGATATTTAAAACATCATTAGGAGTGAGTGATAATTTGTGATTTAACCAAAAAACAAAGCAAAATAAAAATCTATTAAGCTATTCACCCACTACTTTGCAATTATAAAAGATCAATGTTATTCTCTTGGTTTTGTGACTATTAAAGAGGCAAAAGCATTCTCCCAAAAAGAATTTTTAAAAAGTAAAATAAGTATCCTACAAAAAATAAAGCTGATCATGTCAAGTTAATAACTAACAGATGTCATAATAATAATAATCTACAACTTTTTTGTTTTTGTTTTTTTGAGACAGGGTCTCACTATGTAGTTGAGACTGACCTGGAACTCACTATGTAGCCCAGGCTGGTCTTGAATTCACAGCGATCCTCCTGCCTCAGCCTCCCAAGTGCTGGGATTACAGGAATGCACCACCATGCCCGGCTGTAATCTACAACTCTTTAAAGTAAAATATTAAAGGTTATGAATGTCAAGTAGTTGTTCCAAAAAGAAGTCAATTTAAGAAAAACAATTATAACCCTGCATTTTCAGAATTATAATAGTTGGCAAATTAAAACATGAAAACAAACAAGACTTTTTGATAGACTCTTAAATACATACTACTTACATGACACCTTGCAGAACTTTCTGGGGATCAGGGTCAAATAGCCTGTCAACATAGTGGCGACTGCTAGCTGTTACTTCCTAGAAAGTAGGGGAAAAATTATGACATCTGAAGCCGTGCAAATCATAAATTCATAGCATTACCCACAACATCAAACAGCTATATAATCTAACTTAAGGAAGATGCATTAAGAGTCCTACAACATACTATTTGCCTTCTTACTATATGAAACATGTAAGAAAATGATTTTTTTCCTATCTCAAGTATCAAAATAATTGGAAACTGCAGTGTTCAGTTGAAGATGCTGAACATCAATTTAAAAAAATTTAAGTAAGAAAGTACACAGAATACTACAAATTTTTGGAAATGAAAATGGCAGAAGAGTTTGAGAGTCAACATAAATATACACAATAACTGCTTGCTTAAAAGATTTACAGGGAAAATATTAACTACATTTTTGCAAATCATTCTGAGAAAACTTGTGACAATATGATAAAGAATAATTTAGGAAAGAAAGAAGAAATCCGGTGCTCAGTAAAAACAATTAGACAGTGGGTACTTTGGGTAAGCCCTGCAAGCTTTGTCCATTAGAAAAATATGTGCTAAGAAACAAGCGAAATTTCTTCATTAACTGCTGGATGTCACATATGTATGTGAAATAGGAATGCTACTTCTGCTTAGTACACACTAAAGGAGAGAAAATCTGGCTCTCAGTCAAAGAAAAGGGTCAGGACTTCCTGGCAGTCTAGGTATAAGAGGAAGTCAGAATGATAGAGAATAGCTTCAGTGCTGGTAGGCAGACATGAGCAAAAACTACATTAATAAAGCTTCACACTTTCTCAGAAATAAAACAATTCAGAATCAGGGTGGTCTATAAATTCAACAGAACTGGGTAAGGCTGAACTGGATAAAGCCAGATAAAAATGGAGAGGAAGGGACACGTACCTCCTTTCATTTGTATTATGAGGTTTACTCTATGTTATTTGTTGTAATATTTATTTTGGCAAGTAATACTTTAATTTTACATTGAATTTTCAGTACTTAATATTATTTAAAACAAAGAATTTATATTAGAGAACCAGAGGGAAAAAATTTGTCCCCTCCTCATTCTTTCTGACGGAATGTACTTATTTGCTGCCACCCATTTAGTGATAAATATTATAGGGAGAAGAAATTACTTTTCAGTTTAGTCAGGCCCTGAATCAGTAAAAGACCTAATTCCCAAGATAAAGCACCAACTTAAACTTCTAAGTCACTAAAAGTTCAACTACTGTACACACTGCTTTCTTGACAATAAGTTATCAAAATGTGATACATGTTTTCATACTCTGAACTTCCTACCAAAACATCCTCCTAGGCAAGTGAAATACTCTATTGCTTTTTTTTTTTTTTTTTTTTTTTTTTTTTTTTTTGGTACTGGAGATAGAACTCGGGCCCTTGTGCTTGCGAGGCAGGCACCGGAACCACTGAAATAAATCCTCGGCCCTTCTATTGCTTTTAATATGAACTCTATTTACAAAGACCAATCAGTGGTGCAAACAAGCAAAAGTGATGAAAATTATTGTGCATGTGCCATCAAAGCACAAGCATGTAACAGGGTCTGTTTTCCTCAAAATAACAGAATCAGAATTAGAAAGACTCAATAATTATCTGTCCCATTCTCTTGGTTTACAAATGAAGCTTATGATCTTTACTCCCTACAGCTCAACATCTCTTCTCTCCCAATATGGTTAAAACAACCAAAAAGAGATTTGTTATACTTGGGTTTAACACATGTGCATGCCTTAAGACTCTGTGATTTGCCTAACATATTCATTCTTTTGTGTATCTATATAAAAAAAAATGTTTTTGGTGGTACTAGGGATTGAATCCAGGGCCTTCACACTGGGTTATATCCTTAGCCATTTTTTTTTTTTACTTTTAGACATGGTCTCACTAAGTTGCCCATGCTGGGCCCAAACTTGCCATCCTCCTGTCTCAGCCTCCCAGAGTGCTGAAATTACAAATGTGCACCAATATGCCTGGCTGGGAAAATGTCTGTATTTCACTGCTTTCTTCTGCAGATCAAGTCACTCTCCTCTCAGCTCTTCTCCCTTTTCTTTCAAAATGCAGTTTGGGAATGTAAAAACTAAAGACAGAAGGCAACTAGTACAGATATTAAATAGGTTAGTAAGAGAATAGCACCTTTAACAAAGGTGACATCTGAGTAAACATGTACTTGTTTAGGACAGAGCTTTCCAGCCACAGCAAATAATAAATGCAGAGGCTCTGAAGTAGGAAGTCTTCCATAATTAAAGAACAGGAGACCATTACAGCTGTAGCAGAATGAGCAAATAAGAAAGGAGGAGATGAGGTCAAAGAACAAGGTCCAGATTATAAAGAGCTATATGGTAGCCACTAGCATCAGATGGCTTTTCAGCATTTGAAGTGCGGCTAGGAACTTAATGTTTATATTTTAAAAATTTAAATTTCATCTGTTTATTGTTGGTAGTATAGCTACTAGAAAACAAAGTGACACACATAACTCTGCATTATTTTTAAACTGAACAATACTGGTATACAGCCTTTTTGGTCATATTGAGGATTTTGATTTTTAAGCCAGGTGTTTTGGTACACACCTGTAATCCCAGCACTTCAGGGGCTGAGGAGAGAGTACTGCTGAGAGTCTGAGGTCAACCTGGACTATACACTGAGTTCAAGGCCATCCTAAACTATACAGTCAGACCTTGTCTCAAAAAAAAAAGCACAAACATTGAAAGAAAAGGATTTTGATTCTTACTGCATGAGTTGGGAAGCCATGAGAGAGGGTTTTGGAAAAAAAGTGTCATGATTTAACTTATATTTCTAAAAGATCATTCTGGGTATAATTTTAGGAACACACAAATGTATAGGCAATGACAAAAGGCTACACAACAGAGGACTAGAGGCGATTTCAGTCAGCAGAAAAGTTATTATTTCAGAGATGCAGAGATGATGGTACCCTGGACTAGGGTGAACACCATGAAGGTAATAAGGTCAATTCAGATTCCAGATAAATACAGAAATATTGAATTACCATCAAATTGAAAACAGTGTCAGACAGGATGTAGGTTATAAAAGAAGAGAGGAGCCAAGGGTAACAATTTTTTGCCTGAGCACCTAAAAAGATTGAGTTGCCAGTTAATTAGAGAAGACTGTGGGAGGTACAGATTTAAGTAGGAAGATCAAAAGTTCAACTCTGGACACATCAGGATTAAGAACCCTTATTAAACATCCCAGTAATGATGCCAAGCTGGCAGGGGACATGTTAAATCTAGAGTTCAGGAAAAAGTTATGGGGCAGAAATCAGAAAGGTGTCAACTTATAAACAGGATTAGTTCACTAAAGGAGTGACCCTGGCTAGAGCAAGGCCTGAAGTATATTCCAGATCCAGTGCAGTAGGCAGAAATCCAGTAAGCCAAATCAGAGAATGCTTCAAAGGAGTAATCACCTATGTCAAATTCTAGTGATTCTAGTGTAATGACTAAGACTTGACCACTGGATTTAGGAAAATAAGGACATCAATGACCTTAACAACAGCAGTATTGTAGGACTAAAGCCTACAATAAGTCTACAAAAACCAAAAAGTAAAAAGAAAGAAAGGAAAGGATTTTGATTCTTATAGTTATGAGTTGGGAAGCCATTAGAAGGTTTCAGAAAAAAAAGTGACCTGATTTGATGACATGTTTTTGTAGCCTTAAAATAGCATGGGAAAATAGGAAGTGGATAAAATATAGACAATTACTTCAAGGAATTTCACAGTAAAGGAGAATAAAGGACTAGCGTATAACTGGAGGAAAAGTACAGCCAAGAGCGAATTTACTTTTTTAGATACAGTAAGTTAGTGTCTGCTTATAAATTGATGGAAATGCTTTAATGGAGAAGAAAAACTGATACTACATGAGAAGTGGAAAAATATCCAGAACACTGTTCATGAATAACTGAAGGGGAATGGGATTTGTTGACAAAGGAGAACATAGAAAGTACAAACACTAGAAGGAATCAACTAAGTGGATATGCTAGTGAGAGCTTGTAAAGTTCTCCTCTGATTATGTCTATATATTTTCTAAGATAAAAGTGAGAGAAGTTTGAGTGGTCTGAAGAACAAAAAGGAGTAACACACTGACAAGGTTGTGTCCTTTCAAGATGTGGCTTGACATTCACTTCAAAACATTAATGCTCTTTTGAGTTACCGTCTGTGGCTTCCAATAGCTAGAAGGGATTTATATACATGGTGATTCCTCCAACCTCCTGATACAAAGTAAATGTGCTAAGTAGCCAGTAAAGCTCAGGGTATATTCCGTGCCCATGAAGAACAGCAGTCAACCAGGTCAGACCTATAACTGTAACTTTTGGCACAGGGCTTCAAACACTTGAGGCAGCAAGTTCTCAAAACCTGGCTCTGAACTCATTTCACATATTCAAAGCTACAATAAAGCCATCATGAGAGAGCCTGAAACAAATTTCTTTTTTCTGAAATACAAAAACAACAACAAGTAAGGAGTTGCATTCCATTGCAGAAAAGTATTATATGGAAGCAATTTTGCTTTCATTAGGGTGACTGTGAAAGGCAGGCTCTAAGATGGCTGTCAATGACCTCTACCTCCTGCTATTCACACCGCTGGGCAGTCCCCTTCCCTTGAGTGAGGACTGGGACCTATGCTTTAGCAAACAGTATGCAGCAGAGGTGATAAGCTGTCATTTCAGAAGCTTCAGAGTCCTCTCCACCCACCTCCTTTTTTCTCTGAACAAAACAAGTGGTCCAGTTATGCACTGCCTTGTGGAGAGGCCTGCATAACATGGAACTAAATTCTGCCAATGGTCATACAAGTAAGTCTGGAAATAGGATTCTCCCAGAACAGGCCTTCAGATGAATCTGTGGCTCCAGCTAATCTCCTGACTATAGCCTTGTAAGAGAGCTTCAGCCAGAGGTACCAGCTAATCCACATCTGTATTCCTAACTTACAGAAAGTGAGATAAATGCTATTTTAAGGAGCTAAGCGTTGGGGCAATTTTTAAATACCAATTGATAATAAGCTTTTGAATTTATCATCCAAACAAA